AGGGAAATTCCCTCAGTTTTTCCACTGTGCTCAGCAATGACCTTAGGAGTATCACTGAAAGCCATGCTGCAACACAGCAGAATTTGCTCAGGAGATGGAGAAAGGGAGAGGGGCCAGGGCTCTGCCTCTTTCATTCTGAGATGTTTCATCTTAAACCTTTTAAGATTCATCTTAAACCTCTGAGCTCTCAAAGAGTGAGATTGTCCGTCTAATATTGGCACGGTGCTTCCAAACTCCCTTGTCCGTAAGAAGGACAACACTGTCTGTACAACATGACTGTCCAGGAGCTGGGAGAGGAGTCCTTCTCTGTTCCTTTGTGTTTTTAGGGGATTCTGTTTCTTACCATATTGGTAACTTAGCTTTATTTTGTAGCAAAGTGAATATGACACTCAGATTCTGTAAAAAAAAAAAAAAAAAAACACATTTTACAAAGGATTCTCCCAGGCAGTTTTCTGAAGTGATATTGAAAAGTCGATTTGCATTCTTACCTCTAGCAACTACTTCCTTTCAAACTTTTGACCTGTCAGTTCATCGAAGAGCCTCCAGATGCTTTGATGTGCAGTGAAGGCGTTCCTATGTCCCTGTCATAAAAAGCATAGTAAATCGTGACAGATCTAGGGAAGCTCCAGTATAGAGAGAGTAAGAACTGCGGGCAGTCATACAACCGAGTGAACGTTTGAGAGCAGGATTGGAAGCTGCCACCTTGAGCTGTAACCCACTCCTCTCCCCACAAAGAGGGCTGATACAGAAATGTCATTCATGTTCCATCTGCCACATAGGAGGAACTGATCAGAAGGGGCCAGTCTGATCACCATGGTTTCTTCTGGACAGCAAGTCAAGGCAGAGGCTGACTTGGTCACCCAGCTTTCTGCTAGAGCATATCTCTTGGAGCTAGAGCTGGAGCCTGCTGGTGAAGGACAAGTCATGCCCTGAGGCTTTGCCAGTTGCTCATTGCTCCCCTGCCTGCTTCCTCACGGTTGGGTCGTACAGGAAGAGCCCTTAAATTGCTGATTGTTGCAGGGGCGTAACAACACGGAGGATCTGTCTCAACATGCTCACTTGTGGTCGCGTGGAGATGCAGTAGTGGATTAGGCAGGTCTCTGGGGCCATCGTTTATATTTACTCTCAAATTCACACTTGTGCTGGCAGATTGAAACAGGTCCAGTTTCTCAGCAGATCCATCAGGATTTCAGATGTGGCTGTGAAGCATGAAGCAATCTCTGCTCGTGTGGATGTGCTCTGGTACCCAAATCTCCTGGAGTGTGATGCTGGTGGAGGCATGCCTCTTGCTTTCAGAGCTTTGCCGAGTGACAAGTCAACGGGGCAGAGATGCCAGGCTCTGCTCAGCAGGAGTTCTGAATGCACTGCCCTGCAGCCTGCAGCTTCTCCTGCCGTTGGGAAGCAATGGCAAGGAAAGAGATCATTCTCTTTTTTTAAAATACCTTTCTTGCTCTGCAGCTAGCAGAGATTCAAGCAAGCACCACCGGTACTTCTGTTTCTTAAAGGACTGGCAACGAGCAATGGGTCAGGATCTCCGCAAGGCCTCTGTTCCAGTTTTGATAAACCCTCGCCCTGCTTTATGTTATAACAAAAAGGATGTAGCTAACTGCGTGAACGCTTGTAGTATAGTATCGTGGTGTTTGCAGCTGTACTGGTGAAGGGTGGTACTCCAGGGTGGATACAGAATGGCAGTTTCTCCAATTCCGGACTTTGTCTGTGGGTTCCTGCAAAGGCTCCTGGGATCCTTCTCCATCCTTTCAAGCTTCTGCAAAACCTGGACTCTGTCCTTGCGTTTGGACACATCTGATACGGAGTGTTAATGCTTTGGCTTCTTGACACTGGTTGGCGGCTACAGTTGCTGTCCTCTCCCAGAAAATGGATCGCAGGAGCTGTTGTCATGGCTGAAGAGAACTTTCTAGACATGCTCCATCAGCACGATAGGGAGATTGCTTGGTACATCCTGATCCTATCACCACTGACAAGGCACGGAGACACCAGCCTTGGGAATTGGGCCATCCGCACTACCTTCATCCCAGTCTCACTGGTCAGCTCTGAGCTGGAGCAGGGTTGAAACACCATTTCTTCTCCCATCTGAGTCTAACCTTGCCGGATGGGCGGGAGAATTGGAAACGGAAGGGGCAAAGACCTGTTTTTGACTTTGGCAGTGTGTGAAAGGACCCAAAAACATGTCTAGGAGGGTTGATCTCTCTGCCTGGGGACTTTGGAAGTAGGAGCAGATTTTCCATTCTGTGGCCCAAGCACATTCAGATGGGCCACTATTCCAAAATCCCATCTGGCCTGAGCAGCCGTCTGGAAGTAGGTGCTGGGCACTGTGATCTTAATGTTTGAAAAGGTCCCTTTTCTGCTCGCTCTGTTCCTGTTGTGGCAGCATTCTGCAGCACTGCTATAGCACAGAAGCTCTGTTGGCTGCTGAGAGGACATTTCTGTTCTCACAAGGGGAGGTTCTTAACTTGTTCAGCTTTCAGGCAGGACTGCTGACTGCCTTAAGAAAACAAATTGAAAGCTTTAAGTTACTTGCTCTTCTTTAGAAATGGAAATAAAGCACAACCTGGTGGTTAGAGCATGAGCTGGACTTGAGAGGGGTCTGTCCCAGCCTGGCTGACAGCTCATGCTGTGACTGTGGGTAAATTTTAAGATCTTCTTATCCCCTGAATAGTGGCACACAGGACTTACTGTTCCTTGCAGGAAAGTAGCAGGAGGTCACTTCTCTTTCCATCCCTCTGAAGAATGAATACTTTTTATTTAAGCCCAGAAACAATGTGAAATGTCTGGATGAACTGAGACAACTCAACTGTGATGAACAGTGAGGCAAAAATAGATGAAAATAAAATTGCCCCATTGCTGGCAAAGAAGGTGCATTCAGACACGGTGTCCTTACCCTCTGCTTTGGCTAATGTATCTCAAGGCAAATTCTGTGGAGCCTTCAAGGCTGGTGGTGTGAGTCCTCATGCCTGCAGCTTTGTTCCTTTGTGTGACAGGCCAACGTGAGATGGTGGTGCATTGCCTTGTGTAGCGCCTCTGGATCGCGACCGGCCCCTGGTCATGATCACAGCACCACTGTGGCTTGCAGAAGCTTCCCTTTGAACGTGAAGTGAAGGAGGAGAGAAAACAGTTTTTACTTTTGTAATCCTGAAGGTCTGACATAAGGTCATAAACCGCTGGGAGTCAGCAGTGGCAGAGGAGCCTGGATGCTGGGGTGGGCAGAGGTTAAAAGCATTAGACAGTGGGGGATGGTTATAGTGGTGCAGGATCATCAGTAAATCATCAGTGGTAACTCCAGACACAAATCTCGGGGCCCCTAGACAACAAAATGCTCATCTGGGCAAGGGCCATAGCAGCCTCTGATTGCATTGGACTTGGGTTAAATTTCCCCCAGCTGTTCTGAGGCCCAGCAGCCAGGAGTTTTTACCTACACTACACAGTGCTCTTGGTGTGGACTGAGCAGTGTAGGTGTGTGCATGGAGCCCTGGTCTGTGGTCTTGGCTGAGCACGTGTCCTGGTGCTCTGTATCAGCACAGATCTCGCCTCTGCCTGGAGGTGGTGCTGGAGAGTTCTCTAGGCTGCCTGCTTTATAGGCCTCTGGCTCTTCTCTTTCTCCTCAGAGCAGGTGAGCTTTGAGCAGCACGTGCTTAGAGGACTGAGTTGTGTGGAGTTGACTAAATCTGATAAATGGGTCCCATCCCTGTAAAAACCTTCGAGACAGTCAGCAGCGTCACTCCTAGCTGTGCAGGGTATTAACCCTCCAACTTCCTTGTTCTCCTCAGTCCTCACCCAGTGAAACCCATAAGCGCTACAGTGCAAGAGGTGTCCGGTGAGAAGAAGCAGCACAGGTCCAGCCTGACGATGGCTCTGAGCAGTGGCTTGGAGAAGCTGAAAACAGTCACCACGAGTAGCGTCCAGCCCATGGCACCATTGACTCATCCGGAAAAGACGGACTCTAAGACATTAAAGGTAGGATCCCACCACTGCATTCTCACCTCCTCGTGATGTTGTTTCATTGATGACAAAGAGGAGCAGAAAACTGGTGTTGGAGGATGTAGAACAGGGTCCTGCCACAGCATGAGCAGAGCCACATACGTTAGCCGCAACATCCTTAGTCCTACTTGCACAGCATCCCACTGGCCTCCCTTCCTCCATGACATGGCCACTGATCCCTGTCAGCCCCTCATGCTTCTCCCAATGCTTTCTTTGGTTTGGGTTTTTATAGTACAGTATATGAGCAAATGGCTTGTTTTCTGCAAGACATCAACATCTGCAAAAGGTCTCCCAAGGTGGAGGATGTGATCGCTGCCCGCTTGGGCCTGATTGAAGGCTTGAAGGGTTTTCTCTCCTGGCAGAGGTAGAGGTAAGATGCTTCCTGAAGCCTTGTTTAAATGCTGCTTGCCTGGCTGTGTCTCAAATGCTGGTGAGTTGAGGCAAGCAAAACATCTGAGTGATATGCCTTAGGGTGTAGTCCCATGGGGATGCCTTCTGCTCTTCCCTTTGACTACTGCCATTCCATGTTTGCCTCCCCAGCAATGTAAAATGCTGCTGCTGGGGTTCACCTGGATGGAAGGACAACTGCATCCCTGCTGTACCCAAAAAGCCTGTTGCAGTGCTCTGTGGACAGTTCAAATCAGGTTGTGACCACCTCCCCTTTCCCAGGATGAGATCTGGCTGGTCCTGCTGCCCTGTGCTACTTCAGCCTGTTGGCCAACCCCAGCTCTGACAGGAGACCTGACTTCCCTGGGGCTCTTGCCCTCTGGGAACTTCTGAGGGGGTCTTTTTGCTCTTGTCTCTATTCTCCTCTTCTAGCGTCATCTAGATGTGCCTTCAGCTGCAGGGGAAGGAGGAAGCCCCAGAGAGAAAGAATAATTAATGCCAGGCCTCGTTATGCCAGGCTAATTTAATCATGCTCTGTTGTGCCCATGTCTTTAGCTTCTAACTGCTGGGGGAAGGAGGTTTGAAACAGTCTTTGGGGAAACCCTGTTCATTTTTAGGATGACGACCGGTTCAGTGATGGAAGTGCTCTGTTGTCAGTTCTAGCCGCACAGAGGACTGCATTGGCCTAGATGCAGCTGTTCTGTGTCCAATATTTCTGTGCAATTGTATGGCATGCAGAAAAGGTGCTTTGTAGAAGTATGAAGCGATAGCTGCACGCAGTCTCAAGCCCGTTAGGTCAAACTTGGAAAAAAGAAAGACCTGCTGTTTGCACTGGTTTTTCCTGCACCTGCACACTCTAAAGGGAGCAGTGGTTTTCATTGAACTCACTGAACAATTCTCTTGGTTTCTGCCATAGGATCCCACCTTATCGGACCAGTCAGCCAAGTATTATCACTTGACCCATGATGAACTCATCCAGCTCCTGCTGCAGAGGGAGAAGGAACTTAGCAAGAAGGAGGAGCACATCCATGAACTGGAGAATTACATTGACCGGCTGCTCGTGCGCATCATGGAACAGTCTCCCACGCTTCTCCAGATCCCATTGGGGGAAGAAAAGACCAAGTAACCTCTCTGCAGAGACCAGCATCACTTGCCTAGAGCACTTCTCCAATAAACATGCTACAAACATCCCTGCACTCCCCCCTCCTCTTACAAGAGGGCTCCAGTGGCTTAAGTTTGCAGAGTTTAGCAGGAAAGGTTATTTGCTCCTCTCCAGCCCAAGCTTATCCCAGCTCTGGCTCCAGGGAACTGTAGGGTGGTGGGCTATCCTCCACCCTATGGGGAGGAGCAGAGTCCTCCCCAGGAGGCCAAGGCCTCCTTTGGTTCCTGTCATTGTGACCAAGTGGCATCTTCTCAGGCACTCATCCTGCCAGCGCTTTAAGTGGTCCATGGATGTTTGAGAGCCAGAAACCAGCCACCTAGCTCTTGTCTTCATCCTGCTACTGCTGCTCTTCCTGCCCACCCTCCTCCACAACTCTGTTCTCTGAAATGGTGTATCCTGGCTGATGGACAGCGTTAAACTGGTTGATGCCGTATTGGGGATGCTTAAACTTGGTAATGGTTTAGCTGCATGTTACTGTCCACTGAGGCCGCTGGGTAGGGCAGCTAGAGGAAGAGACTGTTCCATGTGTCATACCCCAAAATGAAGGGTCACCATCTGAAGAGCCAGCTCCTCTTTGTACCTGACCATGTGGGAGATGCTACAGAAAGCGACAGCGCTGGAATTGGAGGCCATAAAGCACTCAAGCCAGTGTCACTGCCTGATTGTGAGCTGTGTTGGTATCTTCACTGCGAGCATGCAGATTTGTGATGCTGCCTTAGTTACTCAGCTCAAAATTAAACTCATAATCTGGAGGAAGAGCCAGTGATGGTTTGCACAAGGTTAGTATGGTAGGGGCTGTTCTCTAACACCACCCAAGCCATCACCAGGCTGGCTGGCACCAGTATGCACCAGGGGACTTCCGTATGTATAAACCACAGCTGAATTTTCTACTCAGTATTATACTCCCCCTTTCCTGCTTTCACATGGATTGCTTTTCACTGACCGCCCCCCCGCCCCCACCTTTGACTTTGTGTTGTCTTAATGCAACAGGAAAATGCCATAAGGACCGAAGCTAGTGGGAAAGGATGTCTGACTGCCCAGCTTTCTCTCTATGCATGACATCCTGTTTAGTCAGACATCCGTCAAACATGTGCAGATACATTTTGTAAAAACTAGCAATTCAATCATAGATGTAGAACATCTAAAAGCCAGTATTAATAGCACTGCTAGAATTACATCAAATCTATACATCCACATCGAGGTGATGACTTGGGCCCACCATTAGATGTTCTAGGCCAGCTCTGTCAGGAGCTGAATGCTTCTTGCTACTAGCTGTTGAGCAGCCATATCAAGCCCTCTGATTTACTTGGTTTAATAACTGCAGGTGATCTTAGTCTGAGGCTGGTGAGCGATGCTCCTGGCCACACAGGAGTACAGTGTAGCTTTTGATTTGGAGATGCTGTTGAAGGGTATGTAAAGGAAGTTGCTCCCTCTCTTGCTCTGTCAGGTTTTGGCTGGAAGGATTGGTTGCTGTAGGACTTGAGCTGTTTGACATGACAGGCATCTTCTCTTTCCTGTAGATCTTCAAAAGTTACTTAATTTTTTTTAAACCTCTATATTCTTTTCTCATTTTCTGTTTCAGCGTATACCGTGACTTTGAAAAACTGTGCCTTTTGCAATAGAACAAGGGGAGTTTTCTACAAAAAAAGGCTCTAAAAATCCAGTTCTCAGTTCAGTGTAACCTGCCTTGACCAGCTTTCTTTTGTTTCTCTGCTAATTTGAGGGAAGTGACTTTATTTTTAGAAGCAGTTAGCAGAGCCTTCCCATCTCTAATTGCAATTTGGTGATTTTGGTCCTTGGCAGGAATGCATGTGACATGGGAGTTACATATATGAAAAGATGACACAGGGGGAAGAGCATGGCAAATGCTCTGAGATAAAATACAGCTGGATAAAGACAGTTTTGGGTCATGCTCAAAGTGTGAGATTGATACCCCTTACTCCAGGAGCCCTCTCCCGTTTAAAAAGATTTGCCGTTACTCTCACGGACAACGTTTGTTCGTATCTAGCCTGTGGACCATTGTATGAGAAGGAGGATTTTGTTAGCCTGGAAGATAATGGCCATGAGCCTTGAGTTCCTAATTGCCTTTGTCCCTAACAGGAAAGTAAACTGGGGTTTCACACTTCTCTATTTTCGTCTTTATGTTCTTCCTCGCTCTGTGTCTCAGGTGGGGGGATTTGCATTCCGGTGTAAGGGCTGGAGGGAATGTATTGTCCCTTTTTATATAAAGTGCCAGGAAGTTCTCATTGCCTATACAATCAATGGATTCCCTGGCCTGAGAACTGGGTTCCCTTTTTGGGGTGCATATCTCTTGTGGAGAATCCTTCTTTTTACCTAAAACCGAGCAGGGAGGCGTTGTGGACAGCTAGAAAGCAGTGCAGCATTAGAATAGCCATGTGTAACATGGGAAGGAAGGCTAGGAGAAAGGGCGGCCACAACAAAAGACAAAGACACTGAGCTGGACTTTCTTAAGGGGGGAGGTGTAGAGCTGAAATACTGTACGAGAGTCAGTTGTCCTTGCTGGCCCTCCGTTCTCTGCAGAGCAGCTGCTTCCTTGGACTTCTCCCTCGTGAACAGTCACCAGTGGGGGATGCTCCAGGCCACTTTTTACACTGCTCTTCCGCTATGCAAAGTAGAAGAAACACTTGCAAGACCCAATCAGGGTGCCAGCACCACCCCAGTTCTCTCCCCTTGGACGCCTCTGGGGCCGGTTTGCCTCCTGGCTGCTCTAGTGAGATTTTTGTAGTGGTTGTGTCCCCTCCTGAGGATGGTTGTGGTGTAGGTGCTCCCCACACACAAGTGCCAATGTTTTTAAGAGCTTGCTACACCTCCTCCCTGCCTCTCCCCCTCTCTTTACCTCCTCTTCCATTACATTTAACTGCCTCTGTAGGCCCCTCTCTGCCTTAGTCATCTCTCTGCCTTTTTTTCCAAAGCTTGGATGTTTTGCACTTTATGTATTCAAGTGTATCTCAGAGCTGCAGAAGACTGTATCAGGTGTATGGCCTTTTCAGCAATGAGTCTCCTTCCTGTGACCCGCTTTCTGTGCGTCACAGCAGAGCAGCGTGGTCCCTGGACTGCCTTGCACCACCAGAATCTGCTCCAAGTTAGAAAGCCAGCAAAGCAAGCGGGGCTGAAATGCTTACGCCACAACTTTATAATAGCAGAGCATCTCCAAAGGACACGGTGGGTCATCCAGCAGTCACGGTCGTGGGGTACAGTGTGAGTACCTTAACTTCTCACATTAGACAGGGACTATGGGAAAAAAAATGAGTGATGAGGACTGCCAAGGCTGCCCGGATGTTTCATGTCTGTCCTAGAGTGTTTAGAAGTCCAGAGGTATCTGTGAACAACCACTATGTTTAGCAAAAGGCATCTTTAAGATGCTGTTGTTTTTGTTCTGTTGCTTCACTGTACTATACTGCAATTTCTTTTTCCTCCAAACAGTTTTTATTCTCTGCATAAGCACAAGCAAGGCTTGACTACACCACAGAATAACACTGAAGGCAGAGTCTACCTGTGTAATTTTTTGTTCAAATCTCTAAGTTACCAGAAAAACAATGTTTTTGAGGACCTAGATGTCTTCTCTTAGAGGGGGAACAAAACAAAGAATTGGGGGAAGTTTAACGTTGCTCGTGTCCTGAATCCACATTTAGTGATTTATTTGCAAAAACAGGGAGATGAACAATATAGTTTTTCAGTGTGCAAGACAACACCTGGAATGCTGTTGCTCTTTGCTGAGCCAAGCAGATGAAATGATTTCAGTGAAACTGCCTGTGCCAGTAGTAGCTTTTCAATGGTGCCATTTTAAAGAAGGGCATTGCAATAACTGTGTTTTTGTCTTGCATCCCGATCTGCCCTTCACTTTCCACACTCAAACTGTTTCACAGGTTTTCCGCAGGGCGCTGTTGGTCACATCTGTGCTCTGCTTTTGTTGTCTGCCTGCAATTGGGTTTTTTGATTTTAAAGAACTCTGGTCGAGTGATTTATTTTCGTCTTTACTGGCCCTTCTGGCTCGGAGTTACAAAGACAGACAGAAGAAAAGCCAACTTATATCCTTAAACTGGAACAAACCTGAAGGGATATGGATAGTGAACAGTGTCATGTAAACCCAGCCTTATGCCTTGTCTGTGAAGAAATAGCAGTGTGTTTTGTGTTATAAACGTAGGGTGGAAAAACATCCTGAAATTGGAGAGAGAAGTGTTGGGGTGTTTGGGGTTGTTGGTTTCCCTGTACTTCATGTATGCAGGAAGTGGGTTCTGTGTGTTTCATGTTTTAATAGTTGCAACTAATGTTTATAAAGAGCTTGTTATTTACGTTTTAAGCACTTTAAAAAAAATAAAAGTTGTTCAAGCTGTTCCTAGATACTTCTGATTTATTGACAACAGCGTCTGTGCTGATTGCACTTGGACAGTGAGTGACATTTATCTGTTTATTTTCTGAAGTTGGATGACGGTGTCTAACTTCTCCGGCAGTTTCTCCATGCTGCGTAAGTATCATTAACTTAATCAGTATCCCAAAGCAGCTGGTGCCATGCGGAGGCTGCTGGGGGGCTTCGTTGCTGCAGGATTACCCTCTGAATATTACCCTGCCTGTGTTGGTTGGTGCATCCCAAAGGGGTTAACGAATGTTAGGCTGTAAACCCAATGGGTTGGAGCTCAGGGCGGCTTTTTTTCTGAGTCTGCTTTGATGTGAAGGCCCAAGCTAAACAGCTTGGGAGCTGATAGCACTGTAATCCCCCTCCTACACCTCGAGCTGACAAGGTTCTCGTTCACAGTGTGGGTCTGTGCAGCACTTTAGTGGAGCAGGCTAAAGCATCGCGCGTTCTCGCACGTGCCGTACAGCCGTGCTGCTGGCTGAAAGGCTGCCGACGCTTGGCTTGGGTGGCCTTGCTGCCCTAGGGGATCAGATGTGCCTACAACACCCTCATTGTGCGCTGCTGAGGTTAACCATACGGAGCGGAAGGGTAGAGGTTATTATTACATTCCTGAGGATTTGTGAAAAATCAGCAGCTGAACTGAGGAGAGAGACCCTAACTGCACCGTGCTGGAGGAGGAAAGGAGAGCTCAGGTTGCATCGTAGACCCTAGAAAGTTCAGCCTCGGAGGCTTGGTGAGGAAATCCAGCTTCACGAGCACTGCTGTTCCTGGGAATGTGTTGAAGAGGACCTTTGTGCTTTTGGCAAAATAGGCTGAAGTGTGATATGTTCTCCTGGAACGAGTGTGAGGAGGAAAGGGTAAAATAGGGACTGCAATTCAAAAGGCCCTTTGGGAAAAGGGGGCTGGTCAAATACTGTTCAACTCCATCAGCAGTCAGTCTGTGAGCAGGGGCCAGGGCTCAGTGCGAGATCCTGGCAACACCTGCAAAAACAGGATCGCGCTTCTGCAAGGCAACAGACTTTAGTGACCTGCAAGGATATCGCCTCTCCTGGGGGGGTGGCTGTAATGCTTTACGGTGACAAGCCCGTGTGTGCCGGGAGCCCATACGGGCTGATCCCTAGCTGAGACCTTCGCCTCCAG